TGCTTGAATAAACTTGATCAAAACATATTACATTTTTATCGAAAAAAACGAAAAATAAAAAAAACTTTAACCGGAGTAATTTCGGACATAAGTCTTCCTTGAAATCATCCGGGAAATCACTCGTTGAAATAACAAATCTTTGTATAGATGTTCATCCATAATAATACAATTTTCCTCAAACTGATTGTTCATCTAAGCTATAATCAAACCACAGTATACTCAAATAAAAGTAATTTAGAAAATGATTTTTTTGTTATATGAGGGATGTGCAATTTTATATTATATTGTACACGACCAAACCGAGTTATTTTAAAGGATTTTTTCAATAATAAATACAGGGTGCGGCAGAGAGGATGGACGGTCTTAAAAAAACCATAAAATAGTTAATTTTTACTCGAAAACAAATTTATTGATGGAATCAGGTTCACAAGGAAATAGCATTTGAGACAGTCAAGTGTGGAAAATCACATCAGGCATGTGGTGGCCAAAATCGTTGATGCAGTGCTGGAGGCGTTCTTGGAAGTTCGCGTAGACTCTCTCCAACATCGCTCTCTCAACTTGGGCGACTTCCACGCGAATTTGGCCCTTCAATTCGTCCAGAGTTCGGGGCTTGTTCGCGTATACTCTAGCCTTGAGGTGTCGCCATAAGAAAAAATCGCAATTCAGGGAGAAAGAAGTTGGTGATCATGTCGACGTAGCGCTCTGAGTGCATGGTAACATTGCAGTCCATACGATTAATAATAAATAAAATAATTAGCTTTTTATCATAGTTGTATTTTAGCTGCACAAGAACTTTACTTAACAGCCCCGCAGCCACACTTTTCACGTATCTGGTATCAATATAAAATAGATAATAATAGTCATAATAATAGATTAGAATAGATAATAGATTCGTTACATCTGATTGCTTTAAGGTCATCATTAACCATTTTTTTAAAGTTGCTTAGGCTGGATTCTTTATACTCAGTTGACAAGCAGTTATATAGTTTGGGTGCCCAGTACGAGAAACTACGTGTGAATAATGCTCTCGAATGCGGCTTTGTATGAAGATAATATCAATCAGATTTATTGCATCTTTCTTTACTATACAGGTTGGGACGCGCTCATCCTAAATAATTCTCCCTTATATCCGCCACTGAGAATACGTGTGCTACTAAGTAATAACGACATGTATGGGTCTTCTGCTTGCACATAATACCGCAATGCATGCCATTATCATGTAAATATTCTTAATGCACCATACAAAACCTTGAGTCTCAGTTGATTTTGCAATGTAAATGGCTATTTTGACAGGCCTCTTGTACGAATTTGAATGTGAATGCAACCACTCTGATCTCGTGCCGAGATAGAGTATTCTATATATATATCCTCCTCTGACCGTGTAAAATTACAACAATTGAGATGAATCATAGCATAATCAGCTGTAATTAATTATTAAATTTCTTTTACATAATAAGCACCAATTGATGGCAGAGGCAAATTGTTTGAATATAAGTGGTGATAATTGCCGTATAGATCAGGCAGTGTTGTCTATTTTCAAGAATATTCCAAGCGTTGCATATAATACTTCCCAAATCAATTAACTACTCCATATTTTAAAGAACCTTGGCTGTAAATACGACCTACATTCTAAATTTTAAGCTCAAGTTGCAACAAGGTGTTTTTGCAAACAAGATTTATTGAGGAAAAAATTGAGCCTTATTAAATTAACATAAATGGACAATCAGAAGTAAAAAAGCTGAATTTACAAAAAATATTTATTACACTTTTTTATCTGCTCAAAAAAACACGCTTGCCTCGTCATTGTTTAACCATAGCCAATCAGAAAATTGCTAAAATATACTAAGTGACTTATAAATCCGAACACCCAGTTTAAATGGTTTTATTTTAATAAAATTTTGTATAAGTACTTAATGAAGCATAATAAGTAAATGATAAAAATTTCAAAAATGATTGCACTGCTTTAAAGCCCTTTGACCTTTAATAATGTGTGGATGCACCCTGATGTGCTACGCATTCTCCAACGCGCCTAGGCATGCTTCTGATCAGGTGGTCAATGTCCTCCTGTGGTATCTCATTCCAGGCAACCACCAACTCCTCTCGAAGTGCTTCTAGAGTCTGAGGAGGACGTTGCAAATTAAGCAATCTCCTACCCATCATATCCCACACGTGCTCAATTGGGGATAAGTCGGGAGATCTTGGTGGCCATGGTAACAATGTGACATCTTTATGTTGAAAGAAGTCTATTGTGACTCTTGCAACATGAGGTCGGGCATTATCTTGTTGGAAAGTTGGATCTGCCAGGGTGTCAAGATAGGTTGAAAGATGGGGTTCTAGAACTTTGTGGATATGACGCTGCGCGTTCATATTACCTCTGATGAAGATTAAAGAAGACCTGGAACCATAAGCTTTAGCACCCCAAACCATAACTCCAACAGTGTGATGAACATGTCTTTCAACAAAAAACTGTGGATTCCTCCTTTCACCACGTCGCCTTCTAACCCTGGCACGACCATCGTGCATGCCTTAACAAAATCGAGACTCGTCACTAAAGACAATACTGTTCCATTCCTGAACCTGACCGTTGTCTGCACCACTCAAGGCGATTACGTCGGTGTTCTCGAGTTAAAGGGAGGACCCAGTGGGGCCGGTATGAAAACAAGCCAAAACTTCTCATTCGTCGGTAAACACTTCGCATGCCAATAGGTCTTCCGTGTTCTGCAAACCATTCATTTGCAATGGACCTGGTAGTGGAGAAACGGTCCCTTAAGGCCAATAATCTTAGGCGGCGATCTTCACGGTCTGTTGTTCTACGGCGGCGTCCAGTGCCCCTTGCTATTTACTTACGGCCTTCTCGAAGCCATGCCTGACAACACCTAACCACAGTGTCTACACTTCATTGTACTCTAACTGCAATTGCCCGAAAAGAAAGTCCAGCTTCCCGAAGTCCCACTATTCGGCCCCTATCAAACTCACTGAGTTGACGAAATCGTACAGGTCTCCGTACTCTAGGCATCGTAACCGATCGTAAAGGATGTCAGGAACCAAAATCCGCCAACGTTGATTCTTTACTGCGGCTGAAATATTCATTTTTAGACCGTTAGTGAATTAAAAAAAAGCAGTATGAAAACCGGAATGTCCAACTGATAAGGCTGGAAATTTTTTCACTTGTTATTTACAGTAAGATAAATACATTCACCAACTGTTATTAAAATAAAACCATTTAAACTGAGTGTTCGGATTTATATGTCACTTAGTATATATTCTTATTAAAATGGATTGTCAAAATGTCTATGTTTATTTTGGACAGGTCTAGTAAAAATTATATTGTCAAGCTCAACACAAAGCGCCTAGAGGAAATGTAGAAACAAATGAAAAAAAGCTGAATCACGATAAGCTCGCCAAGTTTATCCACACATATTCATAAGTAATATCAAAAGGGCATCTAATTTTGCACCTGCACGAATGTTTTTTGTTAAAAATATTACTTTGCATTGTGTTGTTTCGATTTTTTTCACAGGAAAAAAGCTCGTATTTCTTTGCTTTGCAGAATTCCGTAAGCTATTTCCATGGGTTTTAACGGTATTGTACAGTACACTTTTCCCAATCGCGAGTTCAAGAATCACTTCCAAAGCGACTCATTTTCACTACGATAGCTGACTAGCACTGTTTAAAAACAATATTACAAAATTTATTGACAATAAAATCAGAAAAATTGTTTAGTGTCGTTTTCTGATATCCAGGAGACCATAATTACTTGTTATTAAAGGTATTGTAACTTTTGGCAACAGCTGTCAAGTTTTACCGCGGGCAAACTCGAAAAAACCGCTGACAGGTGCTGTCATACAACTTTTCCATCTAGAAACCATTTGTAATTCAAAATTGCGCGTCTGTGATTGGTTGAAGTTAAGACGAGGGAAATAGTCATGTATTTACACCTCCAAAGCAGTATATCATTTTGCGATTGTGGTTGATCACATAAAAAACAACGGATTTTTTCATCTTGCACCATTTTAAGTCCTAATAAAATATTGAAACAACTCCACTAGAACAGGAAGAAAATAAAGATCGCGTTCATTTTTTTGGTGTTTCAGAAGGTCATAATCATTTACAGCAAAATGTTCGTAATGGCTAAAGATTGGGTGCCATAGAGAGTGAGAGAGAGAGCATATCTCAATGTTTTGGCATTTGTCTTTAAAACGTTGATAAAGAAATATTTTCAACATACCCATCGCGTATCGGTCGCACAGCAACGCAACAAATGGACATCTGTGTGGACAAAATCCTGTGTTTGGCAGATGATCAGTTCTATCGGTAGACCAAGGAAGAAATTTGTAGACCGCCGTTTTAACTAATGACTGGGGACTATGGACTTGTATAAGCCTGCTAAACGTCATCCTTTATGAACTGACGATAACGTTGCTTCAGAAGTATAGAGTCAACATTTTTGCTGCCATATTTTTCATATCCACAATATGGGGGATGAAACGTTTTATTTCGAGGGAAGGACTAAATGTAGAAATCTATAAGAGCGTGTGCAGAATCCACAATCGAGAACAAATTTTCGATATATTTTTCATGCAAAATATTTATAACGGCAAGGTCTCAAGCAAAAGGAAAGTACTCGGCAACACTGTATAACTAACTCGAGTGTAGAGAAGGTGTTCGGTATAATTGAATGGCTTGTAAATAGGTTCTAATAACATCTGTTGACATATGGTATGATTAATTTATATGTTGTACGTCGCAGGTACAGTTACGCTATTCCCGGAAGAAGAACGTGCTGCAACACTTTTTTGATTGAGCTGGATACTTTTATCATGTAGCGAGTAATATTCGCTGGGCGGAAATTGTATGCGCATCCGCTTACGGGTGGCGTAATTGTATAGCAGGCCGTGATATTGAAAATTTATTGGTGCGGATTCACGCCTGGTACTAAATGCTACAAATTGCTTTGCTTAGTGATTTATACTTATACTTAAAGCACCAGAATCCAAAAAATGACGGTGTGTGTTTTCTAATTTTTCACAAAAAGCCTACAGCCAACATAAAAAAATTGAGATTTACCCAGTGGCGGATTTAAGTAATGACAAAATGGACATTGCCGCCTCGGCCCCCCAAAGAAGGGTGGTCACAGCCCCCCACAGCCCCCCCCCCCTCCCCAGCAAAAATCAGCTCTACGGTCTATATTATTCAGCGCGTCTGAGTGTAAAGTTAATAACAAGAATATATATATATATATATATATATATATATATATATACTAAGTGACATATAAATCCGAACACCCAGTTTAAATGGTTTTATTTTAATAAAATTTTGTATAAGTACTTAGTGAAGCATAATACGTAAATGATATAAATCTCAAAGTGATTGCACTGCTTTAAAGCCCTTTGACCTTTAATAATGTGTGGATGCACCCTGATGTGCTACGCATTCTCCAACGCGCCTAGGCATGCTTCTGATCAGGTGGTCAATGTCCTCCTGTGGTATCTCATTCCAGGCAACCACCAACTCCTCTCGAAGTGCTTCTAGAGTCTGAGGAGGACTTTGCAAATTGAGCAATCTCCTACCTATCATATCCCACACGTGCTCAATTGGGGATAAGTCGGGAGATCTTGGTGGCCATGGTAACAATGTGACATCATTATGTGGAAAGAAGTCTATTGTGACTCTTGCAACATGTGGTCGGGCATTATCTTGTTGGAAAGTTGGATCTACCAGGGTGTCAAGATAGGGTAAAAGATGGGGTTCTAGAACGTGGATATAACGCTGCGCGTTCATGTTACCTCTGATGAAGATTAAAGGTGACCTGGAACCATAAGCTATAGCACCCCAAACCATAACTCCAACAGTGTGATGAACATGTCTTTCAACAAAAAACTGTGGATTCCTCCTTTCACCACGTCGCCTTCTAACCCTGGCACGACCATCGTGCATGCCTAAACAAAATCGAGACTCGTCACTAAAGACAATACTGTTCCATTCCTGATCCCAGAGTGACCGTTGTCTGCACCACTCAAGGCGATTACGTCGGTGTTCTCGAGTTAAAGGGAGGACCCAGTGTGGCCGGTATGAAAACAAGCCAAAACTTCTCATTCGTTGGTAAACACTTCGCATGCCAATAGGTCTTCCGTGTTCTGCAAACCATTCATTTGCAATGGACCTGATAGTGGAGAAACGGTCCCTTAAGGCCAATAATCTTAGGCGGCGATCTTCACGGTCTGTTGTTCTACGGCGGCGTCCAGTACCCCTTGCTCTTTGCGTACGGCCTTCTCGAAGCCATGCCTGACAACACCTAAGCACAGTGTCTACACTAACTGCAATTGCCCGAAAAGAAAGTCCAGCTTCCCGAAGTCCCACTATACGGCCCCTATCAAACTCACTAAGTTGACGGAATCGTACAGGTCTCCGTACTCTCGGCATCGTAACCGATCGTAAAGGATGTCAAGAACCAAAATCCGCCAACGTTGATTCTATACGACGGCTGAAATATTCATTTTTAGAGCGTTAGTGAATTAAAAAAAAGCAGTATAAAAACCGGAATGTGCAACTGATGAGGCTGAAATTTTTTTCACTTGTTATTTACAGTAAGATAAATACATTCACCAACTTTTATTAAAATAAAACCATTTAAACTGGGTGTTCGGATTTATATGTCACTTAGTATATATATTCTTTTAATGACCATCTGCGTAATGTTAATGAAACAGTTTGAATAAGAAAATATCCTTTTCATTTCCTAAGAATTTTTTGGAAAAATGTCAATTTTAAAAATGACCCTTTTATTTCTCAAGGAGTTGAGGGTTATTTTCTCATTTCACAAATATGAAACAAGAAGTAAAGCCGAGGATATTAAAAGAACACCATTGACAACAAAAAATGTAGGTCAAAGATGCTTCAATTACCTCTCCACCAGATTTTATAACTTTTTATCAACCCATATAAAATTCATTTCGAATAAAAATCGATTCAAAGTTGCAATAAAAAAATTCTTGTTAAATAATAATCGACATGAAATAGAAAAACTCACTAAAATGAAAATAAATTAGTATTTGAATATAATATTATTACACTTACCTTTATGATTAAGTTGTGTTTAAATTTATGTACTAACTGTATTTAACTGTTTTAAGCAAAAATTGTTATGAAAAATATTTTCCCACGCACAAGAATTACATTTTTCTGTGGGATTGTTTCAGTTTATTTGCGTATATATGCATGAGTATTTTCAATAAACTGTAATACTTTATACGTGAATCAACTCTTTTATTATTATTATTTTTATTATTATTTAATTTATATTGAATTGAAGCATAATGGGTGTACCATCAGTGGGTTTTGAATAATCTGTTTCAAAAAATTCCTCCACAGAATAAAAAGCGTTCTGTTTGAAATACTTATATCTTCAGGTTTCTTCTGAAATTCACTTTGTTCAATATTTCTTGGAACAGGTCTAGCCTGCAATAAGACTATACAGCTCCCAGCACGGATCTATCGAAAACCACTGATTAAAAGAAAAAACGTCGAGATACGTCAAAAAGTTTGACAATGGGGACAACTTTTTAACCAAAAACTGCTTCACCCTCTTTCACCCTCTGCCCCCCAGGATCATCCCCTTAAAAAATTTAAATGTCAAAAGGGTATCGAGTAATAACTTGTTTGAAAGGTCTTTCGAAGTCCTTTGTTTTGACGTTTGATTTTTTTAAATCGGTGGAATCGTTTTTGAGAAAATTATAAAAATCTGTATATATTTTAGTTTTTGAATATCTGTCAATTACACTTTTTAATATGAATAATCTATGCTTAGCCAACACATATTGTAGAAAATAATTAGGAGCATTATGTCTATTTCACTTAATGGATGTACAACTCTTTTATGGGGAACATTTACTACTTTTTTTTGGGACAGAACGTATTCATGTCCACATATGCATTTGGATAGTAATTTGATTCTTCTTTGTTTCAGTCTGCCCAATCCTTCGGCGGGATCGGTTTCGGTATAAAACGCGAAGTGTTTTTTCTAAACCTAGAAGACGGATATTTCGGCTGTCAAGTAAACGAATCGACTGACGTTTTGCAACTGTTCGAACTCTCGAAGCTGTGCGACGGAACGCCTAACTGCTACCTGGGATCCGACGAACTCGCAAAAGAACTCAAATGCACAGGTAAGTCCACACATTTTTATTTCGTTTTCATTGTATCGTAGATATCTGAATGATGTACAGGACGTCCCAAAACAACTGTTCATTAACGATGACAGCAATTCACATCGAGTTTTTCTGCCTGCCCTAAGTAAGCAGGCAGAAGTCTAAATGTTAGTTAATACGATTTTTGAGCTTCTTAAGGATAGTAGAACTGGGAAAAGCTTCCTCTTGTAGATTATTCCACAATCTCGTCACCCTCGGGAAACAGGAGCGGTCGTGTTCGCCAGTTCTGTATAACTTTGGCACTTATAACAAAAACGATGGGGTGATAGCTTTTGTAAGAAATAAACTTCAATATAATCATGATACATTCACTTTCACCGATGGAGTCAAAATAGCAAGATAATGATCCAAATTAACCATAACAAAATTGAAGTTTCTGCAATTTATCGTCCGTCATGTTCAGAACCCCACGAGTTTTTAAAGAATATCGATTTTTTTTTCAAAATCAAAATAACGTTCATTTAAAGCAACATATTTTCTTGGAAGATGTCAATATAAATATTTTGGACGATGATCCCATCACAAATGAATACTCGAATATCCTATCAAGTAACGGATTTATGTCCTATACAAAACCTACCTACAAGGTCCATCAGTGGCACATGTATAGATCACTGCTTTGTGAAAGACCTATCCAACAAAATTACTTGTATACCAATAATCCGAGAAAGCGATATTACTGACCACTTCGTCACTATTTTACTGATATCTTCAAATGAAAAACATTCTAACATCCCTACCAGGAAAATTACAAATACTTTAAAGCTTTACGTTGAATGGCCTCAAGGATCACGACAGAATTTTGGTATATAGGAGACCAGATCAGAGTCGCATACTCCAACTTGCTCCTGACAAAAGTCATTAATGTATCAACATTGGAGAAACCCTTCCAGTTTCTGATACAGAAACCAAGTAGTCGAGTGGCAGCCGACGAGATATCAGTAAACGTTACCTTGGTATCAAAAATGACTCCAAGGTCTCTATAAGAGGTGCATCTGTCTATAACCTGACCATTGATGTTATAATTATCATAAACTAAATAGTTAACTTTTCTTGTATAAATCATAACTTTACATTTCGAAACATTCAGACTGAGACAGTTTCGTGAACACCATAACGAAATTAGAGCTAAGTCATCTTGCAAAATGCCGCAATCCTCGACTGTCTTGACTGACGTGCAGATTTTAGGGTCATCAGCGAAAAACAAATGGAAACACTTCAGTTCAAAAGACAAGTCATTAATAAATATTAAAAACAATAATGGACCTAGATTTGACCCTTGAGGTACCTCAGACATGGCCCGATAGTAACTCGACCATATTCGACAAATAACCTTCTATCCCTCAAATATGAATTCATGAGCGACAGCATTGCATCAGACATACCCACTGTTTTATGCTTATTCAGAAGTGCATAATGATCAACTTGATCAAACGCCTTCTTCATATTTGTCATAATCTTCCGTGGACTGCTTCTAAATAGAACGCATCTCCATCTCTTGTACGTCTAGATGCTGAATTCTAAGTAGTCGCTTTCCTAGTCCTCAACTAAAATCGACCACCATAGTCGAGATGCATTTCAACGCCAGCTTTGCTCTTTTTGTCACTTTTATGCTCCGTACGACCTTGATTCTGGTACAGGACAACTCTTGGGTCTCGACCAGTGGCGTTTTCATTGATACTTCAACGATTTCAGGGACCTATTCCATAAAAATACTAGACCAGTAAATCACAAGGTACAAGTACAAGCACTTGTAAATAAGCTAAGTGACATGTAAATCCGAACACCCTGTTTAAATGGTTTTATTTTAATAAAATTTTCTATAAATACTTAATGAAGCATAATAAGTAAATGATAAAAATTTCAAAATGATTGCACTGCTTTAAAGCCCTTTGACCTTTAATAATGTGTGGATGCACCCTGATGTGCTACGCATTCTCCAACGCGCCTAGGCATGCTTCCGATCAGGTGGTCAATATCCTTCTGTGGTATCTCATTCCAGGCAACCACCAACTCCTCTCGAAGTGCGTCTAGAGTCTGAGGAGGACGTTGCAAATTGAGCAATCTCCTACCCATCATATCCCACACGTGCTCAATTGGGGATAAGTCGGGAGATCTTGGTGGTAAAAGATGGGGTTCTAGAACTTCGTGGATATAACGCGGCGCGTTCATGTTACCTCTGATGAAGATTAAAGGTGACCCGGAACCATAAGCTATAGCATCCCAAACCATAACTCCAACAGTGTGATGAACATGTCTTTCAACAAAAAAAAAGGATTCCTCCTTTCACCACGTCGCCTTCTAACCCTGGCACGACCGTTCTTTACTGCGGCTGAAATATTCATTTTTAGAGCGTTAGTGAATTAATAGTAGTATATAAGTACATATCACAAGCTATTATAATCAGTTATCAAACATAGTTAACAAAAAGTTTTATACTTGAGCTCCAGAGAAATGAGGTTGCCGTGTACGGACACGCTTATTGCTGCAAATTGAGGATTTTTTTTTTTAATAAAGAACCCAAATGGTGTACTAATAGTTCTGACAAAACCTAGGCATTCTTGGGTCATTGCACTATATGGCAAATGGTACTAGAAATTGTTTCGAGGGCGTGGAAAGTATAGTGTCAATTTACTATGGGACAGCAGTTTTCATTTCATAAATTTCGATTAGCATGCATGATTTCCAACAAGTACTTCTCACTTGATCAAAACATTTATTATAACAGTAGGTTAAAGAATATTAACAGTTACAGATTTACGACTGAAGCAACAATCATTGAAATTACACAGCAAAAAGAATGTACATATATCAACTTCGACGCGTAATATGCCTATAATCTTTTCCCACCTATTGGCGCGAAAAGTAAAAAAGATGCGAGTATGTATCAGCAAGGAATCTACTGAAGTCTTAGCTGGTATCAATGAAAGTAGCGATTAAATGTAGCAATACTACGTATTAAACTTGTACTTTTTCTGACTAAGGATAGATCCGATCGATTTTTAACCACTTTTAAGTCGACAATTACAGCCAGTAGGGCCGTAATTAACAGGCGAGCCAAGATCCTCCTAAGATACGTTTACTTTATTCCTTTACCCAGCGGCTTATGTATTTACGAGGGGTTATACTTAAGTTTGACATAAGTAGGCTACTTTGAGTTTTATATTTTTATCATTATAGGTATAATTATTACGTACTCAATTAGTCACGCTATTCATTCCTATTTTTTGACTACTCTGACCATACGTCATACGAGTCGCATACATTCAGATGTTTCTAATCTAAGATGTTGTGATTTATTGTAATAGAAAGTGAAATAAAAATGTCCAGACCGCATTTTATAAATAAATACATAAATTATCTTATAAACTAAATATTTACTGTGAAAATTGCTTCTAAGACGATTACTACAACACATGTAGGTGACATCCAGACATGAGAGGGTAGTTCTGATGCTTTCAGCCTTCTTAAACATATGTATTTAAGCTATTTCAGTCAGAGAGGCAGTAAAAATTTTCATTAACGTTTAGATGGGAATTGAGGAGTTAATTCGGAATAATAAAAATTTTGTGTCAGCTTGTGGATTGATCTGGCGCTGAAGAGTTTCGAATTTCATTTCCAAAGTATCATAATATCTAGCTACTCACATAGAAATTAGCTAATTTCATCAGATATAGGTGATAGGTTTGATTACCCATGTTTTAAATCCTAAGTGTTTCTACTAGGCTTCCCGTCTAGACGCCTATTGAAATCTCCGTGTACTAAGATTACAGTTATCAGATAATTTAGCAGATCAAAATTCGAAGCTGTAGCACGTTAGCACTCACAATAATGGGAACAACAATTCAACGAGATTTTGATTTAGCAATAACGAACAGGAAAGTCTAAAAACATACAGTACTGCATAGAATAAAATAAAACTGAAGCGTACGTACGTCTAAAATTTCACTTATAGGTCTCACGATAGCATTGCTAAGTCAACTGGATAATACAAGAGCTTTACCAAAAATATGGATACCTACAATCTGCCTAAAAAAATACTAGCCTTTGCAATTTTTCCCTCACTAACTTGGTTTATTCTAAGCACTGACAAGTTTGATCAGGTACTTTATTGATACTCTGTGTTGTATAATATCAAGGGCAGCAGTGGATATTTAAGGAATGAAATATGACTTCAAGTGGGCAAGTATACTAAGTGACATATAAATCCGAACACCCAGTTTAACTGGTTTTATTTTAATAAAAGTTGGTGAATGTATTTATCTTACTGTAAATAACAAGTGAAAAAATTTTCAGCCTTATCAGTTGGACATTCCGGTTTTTATACTGCTTTTTTTTAATTCACTAACGCTCTAAAAATGAATATTTCAGGCGCAGTAAAGAATCAACGTTGGCGGATTTTGGTTCTTGACATCCTTTACGATCGGTTACGATGCCTAGAGTACGGAGACCTGTACGATTTCGTCAACTTAGTGAGTTTGATAGGGGCCGTATAGTGGGACTTCGGGAAGCTGGACTTTCTTTTCGGGCAATTGCAGTTAGAGTGCAAAGAAGTGTAAACACTGTGGTTAGGTGTTGTCAGGCATGGCTTCGAGAAGGCCGTACGCAAAGAGCAAGGGCCTCTGGACGCCGCCCTAGAACAACAGACCGTGAAGATCGCCGCCTAAGATTATTGGCCTTAAGGGACTATTTCTCCGCTACCAGGTCCATTGCAAATGAATGGTTTGCAGAACACGGAAGACCTATTAGCATGCGAAGTGTTTACCGACGAATGAGAAGTTTTGGCTTGTTTTCATACCGGCCACACTGGGTCCTCCCTTTAACTCGAGAACACCGACGTAATCGCCTTGAGTGGTGCAGACAACGGTCACTCAGGGACCAGGAATGGAACAGTATTGTCTTTAGTGACGGGTCTCGATTTTGTTTAGGCATGCACGATGGTCGTGCCAGGGTTAGAA